CGTCTGAAATGGCCATCACGTCATCGTAATCTCCCGGGGATGCCAGCCAGAAGGTCAGCCCGCCGCTTTCGCCTATTTTGCCTCCCTTCATTGCTTACAAGCGGAGATTTTCTTTGTTTATAAGATAAATCCACACGTCTTTGAATCTTCAGTGTATTGCTGTAATCAAGACATTGAAATAGAGAACACAAGCAACGATTCAAGTTCAGATGTGATTTTTATGAGGCAAACAACATTGGCGCTACTTTGGCATGTGTTTATTTTAAAGTAATATAAAACCAAAGGAATTTAACTGTACCTTGATTTCCTCAGCTAACTTAAAACTGGCCGATTTATCCGAAGCTATACCTTAAACCTTAAAGGTATAGGTAAGGTCCCACAATAAAGAATCTATAAAACAGCTTTTTAACTTAATACTGGACCTGTCCTTTGCGCCTCTCCAGATGTTGCCCCCTTCGCATGAAGGATGCTCTTTTAACCTGAACTACAATCTCACTTTGTCTTTGTTTTTTAACCACGGCTCAACACATATACGCTATTTATACTGTGACGCTGCTGCCCCGGTCAGTTTGAGTTAATTATTCAGGCTAAGTGTGTGTACTTGAGTATTTATGTGACCTAGTGCAGCACCTAGTGGCCCTCAAAAAATATGGCAACTTTTTATAAAATACAGCTCTGGAAAAAATAAACAGACCACTCCATATTTAAGATAAAATCTGAATTTGTAAATCCTGGTTTAACCCTGGTTCTGTTGGCAGAAGGCTACACTGCACGGCAGGAATGTAATTATTCAGAGTTTAGAGCCAACGCCCGAAGATGTGCACAGCACAGCAGCACCATCTCAACCTAGAGTCACGTCCTCAGTATGGTGGTCATATTTTGTAATATTGTCCGAAACATAATAAACAGTAATACTAAATGTGCTGCCTGCGTGTTTGTCTTCTTAAACAAGCAACTTATTTAAATCAGTATGGATATTGGCAAGTGGAAAAGAATACACCTTCACCCACAGTGATGTCGGAGGCCCCCTCAGCTGCTGGGAAAATGCTAGTTATAACTGTATACCCAACAACTGCAGCAACTTGCTGCTTAAACCGTGAGCCCCAGAATTCCACTACCTCCTCCAGGAGTGCTGACACTCACGGTGGGCTGTGACTCGCCTTTTCACAGACAGGAATCCACCTGTGATAGGGAAAGGGTACGCTCTAAGTAATTTGTCTCTGGACGAGACCTGAGTGATCTATTACATGATAGGTGGGTGCGCGAGACCTTGGGAAAGTCCCTGATTTTGAGTGGCGCCACTGTATAGCATGAGAGTGTTGTTGTGCGATGGGGCACTGGGTGGCAGGGAAGCCGTCACCCACGTAGGGACCAGAAACGACAGTGAAGGCTTGGTACGAGAAGGGGCAGAGGGCAGGGTGGTGTGTGCACTGTGTAATGTGGCAGTGTATGGTGAAGGATGGACAGTGCATGCATTGCATGCTGTAGTACAGCACTGCGTAACTAGCCAGTGACTGGTAAGATTCCTGTGTGAGGACAGGAACAACCTAAGACAGATGCTGTCGTAGACCCCTGGCACCAGGCTGAGGGACTGTTTGGAGTTTGGTCTATACTCCCGGAGTTAGAGATAGTGTATGACGATAAGACCGTATGTGTTGCTTTCGAA